TTTGCCAATTTTGTTGATCTTTTTAGAGAACCAGCTTTTAGTTTTGTTGGTCCTTTTTACTGTTTTTCTGGTCTGTGTTTCATTTATTTCTGCTCTGGGATCCTTATTATTTCCTTCCTTCTGCTAACTTTGGGCTTATTTTTTTCTTCTTTTTCTATTTCCTTGAGGTGTAAAGTTAGGTTGCTTATTTGAGATCTTTCCAATTTATTGACGTAGTATTTATTGCAATAAACTTTCCTCTCAGAACTGCTTTTGCTGTATTCCACAATATTTGATATGTTGTGTTTTCATTTTCTTTTGTTTTGAGATAATTTTTTATTTCCCTTTCAATTTCTTCTTTGATCAAGTAGCTGTTTAGAAGTGTGCTATTAGTTTCCACAATTTGTAGATATCATTTTCTTCTTGTTGCTGTTTTCCAGGTTCATACCATTGTATTTAAAGAAGATAGTTGGTATGATTTCAATCTTAAATTTTTTTTTTTTTTAAATGCAAGCCTGATTTTATTTATTTATTTATGATAGTCACACACAGAGAGAGAGAGAGAGGCAGACATAGGCAGAGGGAGAAGCAGGCTCCCTGCACCGGGAGCCCGACGTGGGATTCGATCCCGGGTCTCCAGGATCGCGCCCTGGGCCAAAGGCAGGCACCAAACCGCTGCGCCACCCAGGGATCCCTCAATCTTAAATTTGCTAAGATTGTTTTGTGGCCTATGGCATGATCTACCCTGGAGATCTATATGCATTACTATATGCATTTGAGAAGAATGTGTATTCTGCTTCTTTGGGATAAAATGTCCTCTACATGTCTGTTAGGTCCATTTCTTTAAAAATGTTGTTCAATTGCAGTGTTTCTTTGTTCATTTACTGACTAAATGACCTACTCATTGTTGATAGCGGGGTGCTGAAGTTCCCTACATTTGCTTGTTGACCCATCTGCTAAGATCAAGTGTGCACTACCCTCCAATTATTGTCTATTTCTTCCTTAAGATCTGTTATTAATTGCCTAATATGTTTTGGTGCTCAGGTGTTGAGAGCATTATATATTTATAATCATTATATTTTCTTGATATATTGACCCCTTATCTTATGTAATGCCTTTCTTATTACCCATTTGCCTCAAAGTCTACTTTGTGAGATAGGTATGGCTATGTCTTCCTTCTTTTCATTTCCATTTGCTTGGAATATCAACTTCTGTCCTTTCATTATGAACCTATGTGTGTCTTCAGAGCTGAAATGATTCTCCTTTAGGCAGCATAGAGTTGGGTCTTGGTTTTTTTTTTTTTAATCCATGGAGCCACTCTGTGCCTTTTGACTGGTAAGTACAATTCATTTATATTTAGGGTGTTTACTGATATGCAAGGATTTACTAATGTCATTTTATCTTTTTCCTTTTGGTTATTTTGTCTCTGTTGTTTCTTTTTCCTTCTGTTTATGTCTGCCTTTATATGTTGGTGGTTTTCCATGGTGATTTGCTCAGTCGCCCCCTTTTCTTTTTTAAGATTTTATTTACTTATTCATGAGAGACATAGAGAGAGACAGACATAGGCAGAGAGAGAAGCAGGCTCCCTTTGGGGAACCTGATGCAGGACTCGATCCCAAGACCCTGGGATCATGGCTGGAGCCAAAGGCAGACGTTCAACCACTGAGCTACCCACGTACCCCAGTCTTGCCCTTTTTTACGTATAATGTTTCTGTTCTAGATTTTTCCTTTGTTACCAAGCATTTACATAGAACATAGATAAAATAATTGTTTTTCTTCTGATAGAGATTTATCGTCATTCATTTATCTTCATTATAAAGGTTCCATCTTTTTACTCTTACTCTATATTTTTGATGTTACAAATTATCCTTTTTTATGCTATGATTTCATTACCAAGTAGCTATAGTTATTTTTTTAAGATTTATAGTTATTTTTTTAAGATTTTATTTATTCATGAAAGACACAGAGAGAGAGAGAGAGAGAGAGAGAGAGGCAGAGACACAGGCAGAGGGAGAAACAGACTCCGCGCAGGGAGCCCAACGTGGGACTCAATCCTGGGTCTCCAGGATCATGACCTGGGCCGAATGCAGGTGCTTAACCACTGAACCACCCAGGGATCCCCAATATCATTATTTTTAACGCAGTTTTCCTTTCTCCTTTATGTTATAGTTGAGTTTATTATACTATTCTAAAAAAGAACTACTGTATTCTAATTCTGATTGACTACTTTCCAATAGTAATTCTTTTAAATATTCCTTCTGCCCCTTTCTCCCTTTCATCTCCTTCTGGGCCACCCATTATTCTTATGTTGGCTTCTTGAATGGAATCAGATAGTTCTTATAGGTTTTCTTCACTTTTTAAAAATCTTACTATTCTCATATCTAACCCCTGAATCATTTCTATATTTCTATCTTCCGTCTAACTCATTCTCTCTTCCATATGATCTAGTTTATTTCCACTGCATTCCTAATGTATTTTTCATCTCATTTATTGAGTTCTTCTGTTCCAGAATTTGTTTGGTTCTTTTTTACAATTTCAGTCTCTTTGGGAAAGTACTCCTGTTCTTTAATTGTATCCCTGAAACCATCATATTGTCTTTCTGAGTTTTCTTGTATGTCATTGAATATCTTCACGATTGCTATTTTAAACTCCACTTAGATTGCAGTATTCTGTATCTTTGGGTTTGATCCATGGAACATTGTCATTTTCTGCTGTACCTTATTACCATGATTTTTCATGATGTTTGATGAAAAGTGCCTTTGCCACCATATTTGAAGCAGCAAATAGCTTTCTTATTTAGGCTTTTTTTTTAAGATTTTGTTTTTAAGTAATCTGTATACCCAACCTGGGTCTTAGTCACAACCTGGAGAGAGTCATATGCTCCACCCACTAACCCAGCCAGATGCCCCTAGGCAAGGTTTTGTTTACTTTGATACTAACAGTTGAACCTTGATAGTTAGGAGCCTTCCTTTTGTTTTCCAGAAGGTGGCGCTATAGCACCAGTTCTCGGCTTCTCTGTTGGAGTTGGGAATGCAAGAAAAGGGAGAGTGGTGGTTGAGATGGGGTGGGAGGGAGTGTCCTTAGCACTTGGGGGCTTTGGGTGGTGCCCCTGCCCTGGTAGGGAGAGTCATCAAGTGTGAGGGGAGAGGGGGATCCTAAAGGTCTATGAGTGGTCCTCTTAAGTCCTGAGGTAGATAGTAGGAGTCACTTCACCTCTCTTTGCCTCTTTCCCTTACCTTCCCTCCCCTCAGTTACCTTGGTTTCTCCTCAGAGAGGGCAACTGGCCTTTCCAGCTACAGCACATGGGACCAGGCCGATTCACCAGTCACCCACTCACTGTTATCACCCTTGACCTCTTCTGTCAGAAAGGTCACGGCTCCAGTACCACTTCTCTCACTCTCAGTCACATTCACATTCACGTCCACAGATGGATGGATCTCTTGGGTGTCCTTGTATGTTGTGAGTGCAGAGGCACTTTTGGAGGGGGTAGTTATATATGTCTCATTAGTAGTATATCGGAGGGAAGGAAAAAAGGAATGACTTACCCGGCTTTGTTGCTGACATCACTGAGGGAGTCTGTTTTACCGTGGGACTCTAAGGCAAGCTGAAAATAAGGAAGTACTTTAATTTAGGAAACACATTGTGAAATTTAGAACTCAGTTTCTAGAATTATGAAATCAAGTCCAATCAGGTACAGCAATTAGTTTGCAGATTCCCTGACGTTAGTAACCCCCCCTCTGAGCAATGCTAAGTGGGACTGTATCAGTATGTGGGGTAGAGAATAAGACCCCACTTACGGCTCTACTGCCTGCTGCTTTTCCCTTTTGATCCTGCCCTGTACTTGTTCCTGTGGCTTCTCTGACATTGGTCTCTGCTTGCCTCTCTGGAACAACAAATGATTCTCCTTATAACTGTTGCATTTCGTGAAGCAATGTGACTTTATTGGTGAGGGAGATTTGGGCTGGGGCCCTCTGCATGAGGACATTCCAAAAATATTAGAACGCTCTGAACTGACAAACAGGATAGGATGAAAATACTATTTAATCTAACAAATGAATTCAAGAAAGGATACTTACCATTCTGTAAATAAGCTGTGTGTTGATGGAGGTTGAAATGTGAAATTGTTCATATTCAGTAACAGATAAGGCAATTTCATATCATGTATTAACTGGATGAATTTATTATGCTGACATTATACTACAAAAGACTGTAATAATATGGACGTTTAAAAACAGTATACAGGGATCCCTGGGTGGCGCAGTGGTTTGGCGCCTGTCTTTGGCCCGGGGCGCGATCCTGGAGACCCGGGGTCGAATCCCACGTCAGGCTCCCGGTGCATGGAGCCTGCTTCTCCCTCTGACTGTGTCTCTGCCTCTCTCTCTCTCTCTCTCTCTCTCTCTCTCTGTGACTGTCATAAATAAAAAAAAAATAAAAAATAAAAAATAAATAAAAACAGTATACAAAATGTTTTATACACTAATTACAACTACACATTTTTATAAGAAACCCATTGTACATAGAAGACTGGAGGGGAAAAATGATTTATGTTCAGATCATGAATGTATAGAACTATTTCAGCATCATGTATTATGGAATCTGATATTCTATGATGATCTTATTCTAGGACGAATGAAACATGACAGAACTACTGGTTCTTGAGATAGAATCTTATTTGGTATTGTTCACTAGAAAATTTCTACTAGAAAATTTCTACTTTATAACTTAGACTTATCTTGCTATTTGCTTCATTTTGGGTTTACATTTTCATATTTGGGGCATTTTTGCCATCCTTAGAGCAGATATGACTCTTTGAAGCTTATAGTATCTCAAACTCTGTATAATTTTAGTTTTGATCCTTTTGTGTAGATCCAAGATTCTAGAAGTTAATTATAGCAGCAATTCACATTTGCATGGTCCCTACAAAGCACACATAATACTTTGATGTATTTTGTCTCGATTGCTACTGTAGGTGATACATAAACTTGCTTTCTCTTACATCTGTTTCTTTTCTTTTCTTCCAGGTCTACCAAAAGCAGCTGTGATCAGTCAGCTGCAGGCTTTAAAGGGCTCCGCTGGCTTGTGGGCTTTCGGCTGTACTGCTAATGACATCATTTATATAACTCTTCCTCTGTATCATAGTTCAGGAGCTCTTCTGGGAATCGGTGGATGTGTTGAGTTGGGTAAGTTTTCCTTTTCTGTTCGATAAACTTTCTAAATGCTTGTTAACTCTAACTTGTGTTCATTAAAGTTCGAAAGTCTATCAGTAGAATTCAGAGTGATTGTGGGCTTATTAAATAATTACAACATAATCTTCATTAATAGGACACAATTTCATGACATATTCTGTTCCTGAAGGGAAAAGAGCAGTGTTTTCCTTGGAACATCTTCATATGACTTATATTGTGAAAATTAGGTTGTCACAATTAGGTCCTGTCATCATTGATTAACTTGGCTGGTGCTATCTTATAAATTCTGTGTTACCAACTCTGAATCTCAAGAAATATTGAGGCATCTTTAAGCTTTTAAAAATAAATAAAATGTATATATTCAAGAACAAAAGTAAGGGAATACTCTTGGTCTCTGTAAAGAAACCCTTAATCTGTAGTCATGCTCTAATACTTGCAACTCCCTTACTTATTTTGACCTCCTTTCCTCCACGGAATTGCAAATATATAATTATACATATTTGCAGTCAAAACATAGAATTCCATCATGAATTTTTTAAAGAGTTATTGGATTGTAAGATTAATGGTTTCAAATGAGCTTGATAGGAATGGCCACTGATGGATTATAAAAGCCTTGAAATTGACTATAAATGTTCTAGACAGGGCAGCATCATTTGTCTTTTATGTCAATTCTGTCTTTGAATATTTTCCCTGGTGCCTGTTTTTGCCTTTCCTCATAGGAGCTACTTGTGTGTTAAAAAAGAAATTCTCAGCAAGTCAATTTTGGAATGACTGCAGAAAGTATAATGTGACTGTGTTTCAGTATATTGGAGAACTTTGTCGCTATCTTTGCAAACAACCTAAGGTAAGAGAAGTTGTTTTCAGAGAGGAAAAATAATTCCATAAAGAAAAAGTATGGAGAAAAAAATAATTTCTGTGTATACTCCACCTTCTTCCAGAACAAAGTTTTGACTGACTTACAGAGGTATATGCAATACCCCAAGATAAAACAAGTATAAAACAAGGCACAGGAAATAAAAGGAGAGCAGAATTGGGGGATCCCTGGGTGGCTCAGCAGTTTGGTGCCTGCCTTTGGCCCAGGGCATGATCCTGGAGACCCGGGATCGAGTCCCACATCGGGCTCCCGGTGCATGGAGCCTGCTTCTCCCTCTGCCTGTGTCTCTGCCTCTCTCTCTCTCTCTGTGTGTGTGACTATCATAAATAAATAAAAATTTAAAAAAATTTTTAAAAAAAGGAGAGCAGAATTGTATTAATGTGCTCTATATTGTGGCAGGATAGGAGGGACCCACAATCCAGTCCACTTTTATGTTTAGACTGATTAAAATTCCTGCAAATGTAGCATACATCCGATTATGAAATTAGATGCATGCTCTATACACAGAAAGCAGTTACTGCAAGGTCGAATTAGATCATCATTTCAAATGCTGTTCTTCAAAAAACAAAACAAAACTAATGATACTGATTAGAGTTGCTTGTTATTTCTTTTCTTTTGAATAAGTGATTAGTCTGTCTCTTTGTTTGGTTTTGATTTAAACTTAAAAAAGAAATTTTGCTTTCATGTGTTCTTGTCTCCCCACCTAAAACCATCATTTCCACCATTGATAAATTGCCCCATTCTGAAATTAGACAAGCAGAGAGAGTTACAAGAGCCTAAAGTTTGTCTTTAATAGTTTGTTTGCTTTTTTGCCCTCAGACGTTCTTTTCTTGGTCTCATTTGTATTTTGAGATGCTTATTTTTTAACTGATTTTCTGAACATTCTTGAGGCTATGAAGAAATGACCTTCTGTTATCAAATTCCCAGCCCCATGAATAATGGTGATAGGAAATGCTTCCCTATGTGGGACAGGCAGCAGAAACTGATGGCCTGCCCTTGGCCTTTGATAAAGCCCTTTCCTCAAGTCTCCCTCATCACTTTTGACATAATCATGCCAGCTCAAAGCATGGATGGTGGGCTGAGATGTCTCCTCTGGCTGGCTCAAACACGTACATGTAATCCTTCCTTTACCCACAGCACAGCTGAGACAAGGCTGGAAGCATTTAAATAAAACTTTGTAGAAGATATGGGATTACATAGGGAAGAAAAACACAAGAAAAATGTAAAACTGGATAATCTTATTTACAAAACGCTTTTATTCATTTAAACTTGAAGTTTACCAAGTAGGGACCTCCTGTTTAGCTCCTGACTCATCCCTTTTATGGCCAGAGCTGTCCTTGTTCTCTTCTTGGTCAGGAGTGCTTCAGATAGCTTTAGATTCCCTAGATCCATCACTAAGGCAGTGGATCCCAGAGAAATGTTTTAGACCTTTTGACGTTTATTTTCTTCAGGGAGACTTTACCAATGTTAGAGTTTTGGTCTTATCTGAAGAGTCCTAGCAGAGAGATTAATTACAATGCCACAACCTAGCATATTTTCTAGTTTTTATTAAAGTGTTCTTTGGTAATGTGATATCTGGACTAGGATAATTTAAGGAATTAATGCCCTCCAGTACGATAGAAGCCACCTTCAGTAAAGGACAGATTAGGCACTACCTATAATGAACTTCTTTGTGGGCTTTCTAAACTGTGCCCCTAGCCACTCCTTTTTCTTCTTATCCTTTGATAGCAGTATTAGCTTTTGCAAGGTCATTTGTTTAGTAAGTATGTACTAAACAGCTGACATTTTTTTCCTAACATTTTACTATCTTAAATGATGCTGCAATTAATATCTTTATGCATTGTAGCCAGTGGAGGGGCTCAGGAGGACATGGATATTTTGGTGATTCTTATGGCATATTTCCAAATTGCTATTCAAAATGGTTGATGTGATTTGGAATCTCATTGTGAGAGTAAGCCTATTGTATGTATGGTCTCTTATCAGGACTGCATGATATTAAAAATAGTTTTCCAGTTATGTTTCATGGAGAACTTGAACCTCCTTCAAAGTTTCTCAAAAGTCTCTGAAGGATAGTGAACAGGGAAAATAGGACAATCTTCATGGTTCAGTCTTTAAATATGATGGATGAAACCCAATTTGCTAGTGCTTCTTAATAATATTTTGTTTGAACAGAGAATGTCTTGGGGGTTTTTTTTCTTATTTTTTTTAAATGGGGAAAGAGTCATTTAATTTTATTTATAATTTTGTAGACAAGAAACAAACATTTTTAAATTCTTTGTTAAGATTAGTAGCAAGGTGGGATAATTTTCTGTATTTCTCTTTAAAATATCTTTTATGAGTCTTTTACTCATTTATGTCCTTAGCACATAATGTTTTATCTCATCTGTTGGAGCTACCATTTCCTATAATAAAAATATTAGTAGTTTGTCATTTTCACAACAAATCTTTTTTCAAAGTGTGTCCCTTTGAATTTTTTTTATAAAAAGAAATATCCTTTCCTCTGAATTTGGAATGCACTAATTTTGGGAAAATGCTATAGCCACAGAGCATATGAGAGAACTGAGAATTAAAAGTAGAATATCTAATTTTTTTAAGTTAATTAAATATTTTAATTATTTTTTTTTCCACTTGAGCTAGAGAACACAAGCAAGGAGAAGAGGGAGAGGGACAGAGAGAGAGGGCTCCCTGCTCAGGAGGGAGTCAGCCGACATGCAGCTCAAACCTAGGACCCTGGGATCCTGACCTGAGCCAAAGGCAGAAGCTGAGCCACCCAGGTGCCCTAAATATTTTAATTCTTAACTAAAGTTCTTTGAAAAAAAAAGATAGTGGTTGTGAAATAATCTCTAAACATTTACCTGAAGGCAAGTGGAGGAGGAGAGAAGGCAAATAAAAAAAAAATAGCTTTGCTCAAAGGAGAACATAATTTTTTGATGCAGAGATGCATTGTATTACTTAATCCCTTTTGTTGATTTCACACTGAATGAGAACAAGCAGTTCTTGGCATTAAAGATTAGGGAAGGAAGAAAGTCATTCTGTTAAGACATCTGACCCCTCCAAGGAGGTCTTGCTTGTTTTTTGTCCGGTATTTATTCCTGTCAGTGAACTGCTCCTGCAGGGAAGGGGGCCTTGTTTGCTGCCCAGCACAGCAGTGGCTTCAGGTAAGGCCAAGCCTAAACAGGCACTGGGGTCAGTGCCCTCAGAGAGTTAACAATGGATGTCTCCTAAACCATGGTTTGAAGCCCCATAGACATTTGTTTAGAATAAATCCTTAAGTTAAAAAAAAAAAGAAGAAGAAGAAGAAGAAGCAAAACCGCCTACTCTCTGAGGACACCCAGATTCTCTGGGAAACGAACTAGGGGTGGTGGAAGGGGAGGAGGGCGGGGGGTGGGGGTGACTGGGTGACGGGCACTGAGGGGGGCACTTGACGGGATGAGCACTGGGTGTTATTCTATATGTTGGCAAATTGAACACCAATAAAAAATAAATTTATATTTAAAAAAAAAAAAAGATTTGTTGCCCATCCAAGGGCAAGTCATATATTCCGAAGGAGATTCACCTGCAGGCAGAATTCAGTCTGAGTTGAGTGTTTAAAGGTGGAATTCCTTTTGCTTTTAGTTAATTGCATCATATTTTGAATCTTCACTGAGGTTCTTGGAAGAAAAGATAGTGTTTCTGAAGTAATCTTTAAGCGATTACCCGAAGGCAAATGGAAGAGGAAAGAGGGAAACAAACAGAGCTTTGCCCAAAGCTGCAGGCGGTTTACATGCGTAGTTGCGCAAAAACACCCGCGGGGTGGCTTTCCTTGGCGTGAAGCATTTATCCACCCCCTACCAAGCCCAGTCTTTTTTCTCTTTTTCAAAAAGTCCAGTTACAAAAGTTCCTCTGGCATAAACATTGGATGTGCCTCAAACTTCTGGCAACACTGCCCTTTAAAAAAAGCCAAGGTACTGGCTCTTAGAGAGCAATGGAGTAACTACTCTCCCCCCCCCCCCCCGGAAAATAGGAAAGCAGCTCTTCCCCAGGGTCCAATCTCTCAAGTTTTCTGCATTACTGAAGCAGCACAATGAACTCTCTGATCGGATCCAGTTCTTTGTTTTCTTAGCATTAATGCTGCGTTTCCTATCACCTGGTGAGGAATATGGTAGCGTGCTCTCCATCAATGATCCTCCCAGGGATTCCTGCACGGTTCCTTGTGTTTAAAGAACCTCTGCCTAAAACTGCCCACAGTTAGCAATCTCTAGGGGTGGGATCGTATCTATCACTCACTCACTCACTCACTCACTCACTCACTCACTCATTCATTCATTCATTCCAGTAATATTGCAGGTTTCAGTATATGGGGGTAGGCAGTGAAATAACAGAAGGCAGGATGAGTCTCAGGTGTTTCGCTGAAACAGGTAAACGGTGAGCCCTTCACAGAGATGAGGAAAAGTGAGATTTAAAGAGTTAAAATTAAATTTCTTTTGGACCTGTTACTTTGGTGTGTTCCTTAGGCATCCAGGTAAAGAAATGGAATAGGCAGTCAGATGTAGGAATCTGGAGCCCATAGGTACAGAGGGTGAGATATAATTAATAAAGCAAAGACCTATTTTATGATACATATGTGTAATACCTGCTTTTCAAGTTAATATTATATTTTGTCATTTAGGCAGTATAGTTTGTCTCAACATAAAACACCTACATATTGACATTCTGAAGGCATAGCCTTTACTTTCTAGTATATGTATTTTGGCATATGCATTTTAGTGAATATATCTTCTATAAGTTATATACCTTTTCTTTCCTCTGTTTTCTTAAAAGCCAGGAAATTCACTGGCCACTAGTAAGTATCCTTTGGATTCTGGATACTTTCGTTAAAGTGTATTAAAACTTTGACAAAATGGATTCCACTCAATTGTTACTCTGAAAAGAGAGACATTTTACAGGACCCGGATATTTGATAAATATTAAATATTGTTCATTAAAAGCCA